ATAGGGAGATTCCTCCTTAGATTTAAGGTCTCTTAATACATTCTGATTCCATGCTTAATACATAAGTAGCACTGATGTATTAGCAATTCAACATTCTTTGGTTTCTGAGGGCAGACACGGTTTCCACTGCTGCAGTTTGTTGCAAATTTCAGTTGTCGCTTTCCCCTCTGCCTTATGAGATACCAGTTTTAATACTGTAGATATGTACCAATACAAAAGGATTCCTGATATCATTTTACTGACATGTTTCAGTCAGAGTATGTATGTACATGTGTGCATCAGTAAATCCATAATGAGAAATAGGAACTAAACATTGTGGCAAGTTGCACTTGCACCAATGTAGAAATGAATTTTAGGCATTTTCAAAATTAAACCAAAGGGCAGAAGGAATGGAAAGCAGGCAGTTCTTTCATTTCAAAATGGCCATGCTTCTTCAGCAGATGGCATGCAGGGCAGCTACCATCTGTTTGCCTGACCCCACTGCCACGCCTCATCCCCTGGATCATCCTTGTCTGTGTTGCTCCCCCTGCCCCGCTGCCTTCCACCGTGGCCTCATGTCGGTTTGGAGTGGGGCTTCCCCCAACAGCTGTTCTTCTTCAGTGGACAGCAGGCAGGTGCACCTTTAGGCAATGTCAAAGGGTGGTGCCAGTTTGGTGCCTGTTGAGCACTGGCTTGATTCAGGTTGAGGCACCGGGCCCTTTGATGGGAGTGAGGTCAATTTTATTATTGCTGCTGTTGATCTTACTGTATTTTACTGTAAAATACCCAGAGAGCCCAGGTATAAACTGGTCTTTCATAAGACAGGAGGAAAAGCTAGGAGAAGGAGTTCAGGTGGTGAGCAGCAATGAAAAAGGCCACTTGGCATGAGCTTATGCATCATGTTCAACCTCAAAGGAGGTCCCAAATGGAACTGAGTTCTGCAGGGGACCTGTCAGTTTAACTTGCTGACCTGAGCTTCTTTGCCAGAGGATTAGTCCCTGCCTGGTAACTTACTGGAACTCCTTCCCAGACTTGGTAGTTAACTCACATTTGGGCTGCTTATCCCCAGGTCTTTTTGTAAAAAAGGAACAGACGGAGCAGTTCAGTCTCCATTTTTTCCTCCCAACAACCCTGTGAGGTATGTTAGGCTGAGAGTTATTGGCTGGCCCAACACATCCAGTGAACTTAATAGACTAGAGCTGAGATCTCCTGGGTTCTGCATTTACCACCTCCCCACACCGCCTCTACAAATTTTCAAGAATACTCCTGGCACCTGATAAAAAGAGACTTAGACATGATATGGGCACCAACGTTAGAGAGGAAATTAGCCACTGAACAAGTATTTTGTTAAAAGAATATTTTGTATATAAGAGAATGCTAATATTTACTTTGGAATTTTCACAAGAATGTTTGCTGACATTTCTTAAAGACTCAAGAAGCACTGTTCCTTTTGCAAGACTCAAATGACTTTTTTTTAACTCCAAGCCAAAGTACTTAAACCTCCACCCCAGCCAAGTCCAGCTTCTGGCACAGTCTGTCCTGTACATACTTTGTACTGGATGTCCTTTATAGGTTAGCTTGGTGCATGTACAAAAGGAAGCAATATTCATTTCCTTTTTATTCTAGTGCAGTGGTGATAACTGACAGGGCACATTTGTGCTGGTGCATGTCCAGTTTTCTAGTGCTCCAGAAAATGTTTGTGTTAAACATTTTCACCTTCTTATCCTATATGCACAAACTAGGAAGCATGTTCCCTCTACTGAACTTGCAGATCATGTTATATGTGTATCAGCTACACTACTGTAGTGCAGTAATTATATGCTTGGATCTTCGAAGTGCACTTTATGCATTTCATGATCTAGGTCATTGCCTACATGAATTCATGCCAAATCAACCATTTACTTCATATGATTGGACAGCCCTTTTAATATTATAGGTGGTAGTCTTGACCAAAAGTCACACTCCCTGTCCTTTTATTTTTTTCATAAAAGGAAAGATAATGGATGAATAATTTTATGAAGCATAGATTAGCAACATTTGTCTCATCAGTTCAGCGATTCATCTGTCATTTGCTCTTGAGCATATAAAATATCAGAATTTGTATTTGTTCCAGGCGAGTACATAACCCTGTAGAGGAGTAATTCAGGAGAACGTTACTTGTAGGTTACTGGAGTTTGAACTTGAGAGCCTTATATTTAATTTTATTCTCCTACAGTATTCAAGAAATCCTCGTGCTCACTGCTTCAATGCTGTTATGCTGTTGTGCAAAAGTGCTTCTGTACTGTGGCAAGCAGCATCAGCAGAGGAAACAGAGAAAGATCTTGTGGCTTACTGAATAAAATACTTGAGGCAATAAAAATGTAGAAGATTTCCATAAGGAAAATAGAGTCTGATTAAATAAAATAAAAATGGGGAAACATGGGGAGAAGGAACTGCTGCCCCAAGCAGAAAGCCATTTGTTATCAGTAGCCTGAGACACCAGTGTTGGCACATTGCCACTTCTCTTGCTTTGAGCAAAATGCAGGGGTTTTGTTTTTCTTTTTAATTTTTAAATGGTCCATCTTAACACTGTTTCTTTTATGGCATTTTATTCTTGTTCACTGAAATACGTTTGTTTCAAGTTTTTTGTTTATGAAGGAGGACAATATTTGATGTGATCCAAAGAACAATTCAATCAGTTCCATGAACTCAAGGTGGCTTTGGAGGTTTGTTTCGTAAACATCATCCTCATTCCTCCAGCACAACATAGCAATCTCCTTCTAAAAAACTGGGGACTGCCAAAGCTAGATTGTGATATCACACTGCTGCTCCAAATGTAAGATTTCCTGACTAATGCCCAAACCCTCAATAGGTATTTGACTCCTCACTTACACTGATGTAAAGTAAAACTTTAATGCTAAACTGGTGTGCATTACTAACAGGTACAAATATCATCCAAGTTCTCTCAAGCTACTCTCAGAAAGGGGCTTGGAAACTGAACTGAAAGGCGAGACAAGCTCCCAAATCTTTTCTAGCTCAAGTTAACATCCAAGTTGGCAAATCCCTTCCACTGGCCCGCCTTGCCCTCTGCCATTCCCAGAAGTGCTGCCCACCAGTCCCAAACCTCCCTCCCTTTTAGTGTGTGCAATTGCACAGGTGAGCAGTGGCAGAGCTCCATGCTCCATCCCATCACTCTATTGTGTGGGTTGCTGTTATGCTAACGGAAGAAAGCCAGGGGCTCTAGAATAGATGTAGTTCTCCTGAGATCTGCTGTGGATAACTTTTCAAGTTACCTTGGAAATTGTCCTCGCCATAACCCAGGGAAAATTGTACAGTTTCTACTGAGTCAATCCAAGCTGAACCTCCAAAAGCTCACCCCTCTCTAGATTAATGGGTTTTGTCAATACCTGGTGGTTGGGATGGTACCTGAACATGCAGACAGAATTCAGCATACTTTAACTGGAATCCTCTTGTTCAATATTTATGTGGCAGGACAAGGTTCATTGAGATGAGATTAAAAAGAAAGAAGGGAGTGGCCTGTGCTCTGCTAAGCTTAAAAGGCCTATGCAAAAATTGCAAACTTCTTTTACACAAGGTTGTGTGTAGTTCCAGTCATACCCTGGAGTTGCAGCCCTAGGGACACTTTCCTGGGAGTAAGCACTGCTAAACTTAGTGGGAGATGTTGCCAGAAGGTTGCCAGAAGATTTTCAAACTAAAATCAGTTTGAAAATAAAGGCCTGTCCATATTTCAAACATTTACTCCAGTGTCACATACCTACTTCTACACATTCAGGCATCCGGCCCTTGTGCTTCTCAACCTGTGGCCTCTCGTGCTGGACAGTAACCCTAATTTAAATCTGCCAGGAGATTAAAAAACAATGTGGGACATGCTTTAGGGTAGGAGTCAAAAACCCCATTGGGAATACCCAGCTCTTGCTATTTTTGGATCCAGCCATAAGATGCAAATTACTAAACAGTTTATGCTAATTGATTAGATAATTCCCTCAAATAGTAAACTTGGTAGTCAAGTGCCTATCAGTTTGGAAACAGGGTGGGGCCACCCAAAAGTAATGTAGTAGTTTTTTGTGGGGAGGGGACTTCGTAGGCACACAGAAATAGCTATACTGTTCTTTTATTATATGAACCAAAAGAACACCTTGTGAGTTTTCAGAACCTTCAGAATTTTGAGGGGATAGTGCAAAGAAAACTAGACAAGTACATCTGATTGTCTGGAGAAGGAACTTTCTGGCAGAAAATTGCAATTTTAGAATTTGAAAGCAGGCTATTTTCCCTTGGAGACACCATGCTGCTAAATTTCAGCAGCAGGGGCAAAGTTGGCAGGGGGAGAAGGAGATGGGAATAAAGATGGTTGGAACAGGGAATGACTGTGCTGTGAATAAGATTAAGAAGGAATTAGGAGAATGATATGAGCTCTCAGGGTCAGAGGAAGAATGGAGGTAATGCTGAGCATTTGAGAACACACCCCTTTCTTCTGAGGCCCTGAACAAAGGAAAATCATGAGAATCACCATCTGGTATGCATGCGGAAGTTACACTGAAGTACAATTGTTGTTGTTGTTGTTGTATTGCATTTCTATACTGCCCATAGCCAAAGGTCTCTGGGCAGTTCACAATATTTAACTCACCCATCCAGATTTCAAGCAGGGCTGTGCACCTAATGCACCAACCCTGCATGGTTTAATACTGATCTAATGTAATATCTGTAAGTATATACAGCTGTAGGATTCTCCATGGAATTCTGAGGATTTTTTGCTGGTTAGAATCAAGCATCATCTCACTACTGAAGTCTATTGGCAAATCTGTCCTTTCTTAAAAACTTTTTTAATGTCAATTCCAGTTAATATGACAAATTTATACAATGTTCATTTTCCTCTGAAATTAATTCTTAAAACATTTTAATGCTATTTGAGATATGCTTTCTTACAGCAGAACCTTAAAGAAAATGGAAGTTAATGATATTAGTTATCAATATGGTTTCCGTTATATTACAATCTCAGTTTACATTTCCCCTATCTTTTACAGGGTGATACCATTGTTTCCTGTGACTCTTATGGTGTGTTGAAATTGTGGGACATTCGGAGAGGGGTGCCAATGGTATCAATTGATGCAGGACCACATCCTGGCAACCAGGTGGCTTTCGATCCTTCTGGTAAGATGTTTCTTGAAACTCGACGTTTTTAATGTTCTTTCTTCTTTTTTCATTTTTTTTTCTTTTTAAATGTCTTACCACAGTTGAAAGGGATGTGGTGGCACAGTGGGTTAAACCGCTGAGCTGCTGGGCTGGTTGATCAAAAGGTTGACAGTTCAAATCCGCAGACAGGGTTTGCTCCCGTACTCTGTCCCAGCTCCTGCCAACCTTGCAGTTTGAAAGCATACAAATGCAAGTAGATAAAAAGGTACCACTTCGGTGGGCAGGTAACAGCATTCGGTGTACTTCAGTGTTTAGTCATGCCGGCCACGTGACCACGGAAACTGTCTGCAGACAAACGCTGGCTCCCTTGGCTAGGAAACGGAGATGAGCACTGCCTCCAAGAGTCAGACATGACTGGACTTAATGTCAAGGGGAAACCTTTACCTTTTTTTTAACCACAGTTCAGAGGCATCTGGTAATGAACTTCTTTTACATATTTCTATGTTCTGTAGCACATTGCTCAAATAACCAAGTTGAATTCACATATTTATTTTTTCATGGAAATTCAGTGATCACTGTTGTACCCACGGTGTTACAGACGAGACCAGAGTCCGGATGGTAAAATAAAGAGGAGTTTAATTACCTGCAAGATTTCTTGCAGGGACCAACATTCATGGTTAGAATGCGGTGCTTGAACAGAGTTGGAAGGAGATCTTTATACCTTCACAATCCGCTTTCGGCAAATGGGGAACAATACAATCAGTTTTTGACAAGAATGGGAACAATGGCGACAATGGGGAGTTACAGAATCACATAAGCAGTTGAGCAAGCGATATACAGAAGCAGATTTGGTTAGCAGTAAGCTTTATCTTTTAATTTACACCTTCTAAGCAGTCTTTGTCCATTACATTGTAGGTAAGCTCTTTCCACTTACCAGGGGAATTCTCTGAGGCAGTTACTGGTCATTTGAATGGGCTCGAGCTTAGGAGAGCTAAGCCTATCATGCATACCCTGAGACAGCTGATTATTCTAGTGTTTGGCCGTGTCATGCCTATCTGGAGCCTAGAGGAGCCATGTCTATCCTGAATGCCCTGAGAAAGCTGACAGGTATCTCTATTATGTCAGGATCCTGGGGAGTCAGGTACAACAATCACACCTTGGCTGTCACTGACCTTTTCATACTAGCCCTTGTGTAGTAGTGAAGGTAGGGGCTACTCCAGCTGGAGCTTTTAAGGTGTTAGCCCACCCAGCATGGTCCTAGAGTCATCCTGTGACATCCTGTCTCCCACACACACACAGCCTCAGCAATTCTGTACTTTCTCACACTGGGTTTTTTTCCCCTGCTATATTATGTATGATCCACCAAACAACAACGACCTGGTGTGGCTGCCCTATTTGGGGAGTTTGTGTGCTTTTGTGGGTGTGTAGCCAAGATTTGTGATGTGATGCCACCTGGGATGCATTCTTATGGCTTCAGGCCAACCAGCAGCTGTGCTTCTGTTTTCCTCAAAGCAATCCAGATCTTTTCTCTCTCCGCTGCTGCATGCAGACTACTCACCTGCCTCCCCTCACCCTCCTACCCCTGATCTGCTGTTGCGAGTGCACGTTCTGGCAAACTTCAGGGGCATGCACGAGAGGCTGACCGTTGTGGCTGGACTGACAGCTCAATTTCTGAGAATGAGATGTATGAACAAGAGTTGCCCTATCCTGGCATAGCTGGCAGCTCGGGCTCGGATAACGAGGGGGTTGTTGAAATGGACGCCACTTCAAGCTGGCCCTGCACACCCACCTGTGCCTGCTAGGGAAGAGATTAGTTCAAGGGCAGCCGAGGGGCCCAGCCAACCCTGTTGTGGGAATGAGAAAGAACAACAACAACCTGAGGAGGGAGATTTAGAGATGTTTTGGATGTAGAACTCCAGCCTCCTGAGGAGGTGAACCCGATAGTCCATCGTCACATTTGAGACCCAAGAGGGAGAAGCGTGGGCGTGCCTGGTTCCACAGTGTTCCTCCTTCCAAGGAGAAGCGCAGAAGGATTCATAAGCAAAGCTTTGGGTAAGGAGAGGCAGAGAGGGTTCAACATTTTGCTTTGTGTATGCTCAGAGACTTGCACATAAGATAAAGACATTTGGCAAGAAGCACTGGTGAGACTGTCACTACTGGGAGGGAGAACTCAGCTCACAACACCTGCTACCCTTTTGGGCAGCCACTGCAGAGCAGATGTAAGCAGGCATCCCTTTCAAAAGTGACATTCCAGAGGAAACTTTTGTGGGAGTGGAGAGGAGGTGAAGGAGGCAGCCGCATCAGTCCAGGGAAATGAGCAGAAGCAGGTGGCTGTGGCTGGATCCAAGGAGGAGAAGGAAAAGATGGTCTGGGGGAAATTGATTGAGTTAGTGATTTAATTTTTTTCTATAATGTCTCATATTTTTAAGAGTTCTCAAGACAGTGTACAAGAAAATTAAACATTGGAACCAGGCGGACTGTAGTAACAATTAGTTTTAATATATAGTTTAGAGGAGAAAAGTGATGACTGATGGTGCTACAAGCCCTGCTTTTGTAACAGCTCCAGGCCACAGGCCACAGACTGGGGTGTTAAAATGACCTGTACCACTTAGACTATAAATTGGGAATGCCACATTTATTACTGTATTTCATAGTATAGTGTTCCATGTGCAAAGAGATTCTGGAGTGGTGAACAAAAGAGGGTTGAAACAAATAAAATAATAAAAACAATACAATACATCTAGGATTAGTTGCATTTGGGGTAATTTTTGACTCCAGGCAAAAGTGCCTCAAGGAAGAATAATGCTATGTATGCAAAGCCTTTGTTCTCACTGAAATTTTCCCCCAGGGGGTTTCAATCAACATTAAAATGGCTTTCAGCAATCAGCTAATACAGGCTATTTTCCATTTAATCCTTCTTGAAGCTATGCAAAACAAGAAAATCTGCATAACTGCATTTGGGCCATTGACCAATAATTTTTATAACAATGGTTTAACCTACTAACTTTAAAAAAAATCATAGTACAGCTTTCTTTCAATAGAATTTTAATTCTGCTTGCTGGAGATTTTAGCTAACACATTTAAATAGTAGAGGATGATCAGTATTGAACCTTCTTTTGTGCCTTTGTTTGGGGCTTATTTTAGGGGTATAAAATTACCCCATTTAATTCTTCCTATAGTGGTTTTGTGGTAAGGCTCTGCCCTAGGCATAATTTAGTTTATAGGAAATAAAAGGTAGAAGGATGAAATTTGGGGATGTTTTAGAGTAGGCAGTTTGTGACAATGTCCTAGTACAGTGGTGGTGAATCTATGGCACGTGTGCCATAGCAGGCACGCAGAGCCCTCTCTGTCAGCACGCAAGCCAAGTCACCCCAGCATCACTCCAGCAGCTGAGCATCAGATAACTGCACACATAGGGGCCATGCAGATGCTCGGAAAGGAGTAGCGGCAGTAAGCAATGACGACATGAGCCGCGACTCATTAGCCACAACTCGTCCGAGCTTTTGCATGGCCGGTCAGTGTTCTGCCAAGGATTTGCTTGGACTGGCTGTGAGTTTTAATACATTTGTTTTTATTAACACAAGAGTTTAGCTTTGTGTTTTCTTCTGAAAATTGAAATTTAATATCTATGATTTAGCAAAGAGATGTTCTAATTAAGAGACTGATATTTTTTTTAATGTTGTGCTGTCCCCCTGGCATATTTGAATCTGCAGCATCATATTTAGTTGTTTGTGAAGAATTTATGAAAACTAAAACCCCAGTATTCAGATTTTATTGCAGTGTTGGCACTTTGCAATAAATAAGTGGGTTTTGGGTTACAGTTTGGGCACTCACTTTCTAAAAGGTTCACCATCACTGTCCTAGAATTACAAGTTGGTAGGCCTATTTATGTTTAAATTACAGTCCAGAATGGAAGCAAGGAGAATGTCGGTCACCCTACAATGCAGAATGCGGAATATGACCCTGGCTGCCCCTCAAGAAAAGTCTTACTGGAATAAGACTCTTTTTAGTAGGCACCAAGACCAGCACAGTATTGGTACCATCCTGACCTCCCAAGGCAAGGAATTCATGGAAATGGGGCTTCCACATGGAAGACTCCATTCGGGCCCTGGGTCCATGTGGAACCACTAGGAGAATGTCAGGTTGGTAAGAAAGGAGGGACTCTGTCAGGTATTCTGGGCCCAAACTGTTCAGGGCTGTATGAACTAGTACTAAAGCCCTAAACATGGTCCAATAGCAATTTAGTAGCCAGTGCAGTTCTTTCAGCAAAGGACTTGAACAATCAAAAGAGGCAACTCTTGACAATATATATATTAACAATGCTTGTCAATATTCAAGCATTAACAACATTTGATCTGCTGCATTCTGCACGATTTCCAGCTTCTGGAGCAGCCTCAAGGGCAGCCCAACAGAGAACACATTGCAGTAATCCAGTCTGGAGGTTACCGGTGCCTGGATCACTGTCCAGGAGAAGCCACAGCTGGCAAATCAGCTGGAGGTGGCAAAAGGCACTGCAGTTATTTGGGACTCCAGTGAGAGCAGTAATAGGAGTAATCTGAGACTATGAGCCTTATCTTTCAGGAGGAGTGCAGCCCTATCCAGAACAGGCACGAAGCCTCTTTCCTGGACTTGAGAGCTGCCAGGTTTCCACCTTCCCATGGTTCTGCCCCTGAGAAAGGTGGTACCCGTGGTTTGGAGTTCTTCGTTGTGGTCTCCATGCATCACATATGTATGGGTTCTATCCCATTCATTTCATTCTTGAAAACAGTTTCCAATGTTAAGAAAGAAGGAAAACTCCCAGCTAATAGAAAACATCAGAAAGAAAATGTTTAGCTCAGCCTTATGCTTGCAATGCTGGCTTCCTATTTCCAAGGAATTTTTGATGTCATCGATCATTTAAAAATGAAATCACCTACAGTCTAAAGCTGCAGTTCATACCCCTACCCTATTAAACTGCATGTGTAGATTGGCCTGGGAGGTGAAGAAGAAAGAGAAGAGGTATAAAATGTATTCCTATT